CATTAATAAAATAAAAGGACCTTAAACTCCTTGATTTCCCAAACAAATTCAAGGATGAAGTGGCATCATCATTTACTGTTCATTTTGTAAACAGAAACACCTAGGGAACTAACATACCTTAATTAACCAAGATGGCCAAAAGAAAAAGGAAAAAAACACATGGCCTTAACCACAATTAAAGAAAAATCATTTTTCTAGGAAAGAAATGCTCCATCTTTAGAAAAAGGAGAAAGAGAAAACAATGGAAGAAGATTTGTAGTAATGTAAGAGAGGGCGGGCATGCTTTTAAAAACCCCCATGTGGAGACCATGTGGCTCTTTATCCAAAGGCAGAGCTCGTGGCCTTGAATATTTCTCTTGTTTGCGGGTCCCGTTTTCCCTAAATGCCTTAACCATGTTTTCCGGATCCTGCCAATTCCTCTGCCTAAATCAACATCTCTCCCCCTTAATATCACATGGTTCAGTTTACAATATAGGGTTCCTGGTGTTCGCACCAGCTGTCCTGTTAGTGCAAGGGTCAAATACATCATCGTTGGTTTTCGCAGCTCATAAAATAAAGAGGTTCTTTGCTGGCCTATAAATAGGGAGTGTTTGCTATAATTGCTAGGATCAATCCATAGTTGTTGGTGTGATGCCCTAAACATTATACTGACGTAGAAGTACAAGTATAATTAGTATATATTTGTTATGATAAATTATTATCAGTCATTTATATTTGAAATGAATTTTAACTTAAGTCGTTTCAATTAGTTTCTCGTTTCAATCAAAAAATTTCTTTAAATTAGCTAACAAATTTAATAAACAAACTCTTTCAATCAACAAAACAAATAATTGAGTGCCAACTACATTTGTTAATGAAGCTTTTGTATAGTGATGAAATAGAAAAACTAAAACCTAATTAAGATTTTAGATTCTAAATATATTTTATGTAGATTTTAGTTCAATTTTATATTAGCATCTTATAATTTGTAATTAGTTGAATTATTTGTACTCTTATTGTTGAATGTAAAAGAGATAACATGTACACTGTCTCAACCAAAAAATAGTAACTTAATAATATAAGGGAACAAGTGTAAATTGAATCTCTTAAATTCTTACTCTAATAAATTGCTTAGGTCTCTTTTTTTTTTTGAACAGTTGCTTAGGTCTCTTTTTGTTTGCCAATATCGAAGGGCATTTGACGTTTTGGTTGGTTCAATTTGCAGCTTTATTCTTATCAATTCAGTGACATTTATAAAGTCATCACCTATCTAACTATATATTAGTTAATTGTTACTGTGGATGGTTGAAAGAAAAACCTAGCAGTTGAATTTAGAAGGACTAAAGTAAAGAGAGCTGCTGCTGTTTTGTACGGATATGGCAACCATCTTAGTATTTTTTTTTTTAATGATAATAATTAAGAAGTTAATTAATTAATTATTAATAATTGAAGATTTGATTTCCAAACCGAACGAACATTTCACCCTCAAATGAGACGCGCGGCCAACGGGCCGCTTTGGTGGAGTTAGGCAACAATCCTAGTTGATCTTCTTGGACTAAAGTAAGATATGGTTAAATGTCAATTTTATCCCCTAATTTTAAGATTTTATATAATTTTCATCTCTCAATTTTTTTTATATATTTTTATTATCTTTCAATTATAAAAAATATAGTTTTTTTAATTTTTTATCAATTATTCTATTAAATTTATCTAATTATATATACACATTTTATCCCTTAATTTTTAATATATGTATATTTTTTATCTCTTAACTTTAATTTAAAATATTACAAATATGTATATTTAGATAAACTAAATGGGTTAACTAATAAAATGAACAAAAAAGTGTGCTTCTAATAGTTGAAGAATAAAAAAATACATAAAAAAAGTGAAGGAATGAGAATTATGCAAAATAAGTTAAGGAGAAAAATTGACATTTAACCTAAAAAATTAGGATCTATTATAACATGCATAGAAACCTTCTCTGTGTGTATATATATATATATATATATTAATTCTTTCTCAAAATCTAACCCACTTTGTAAATTTTCTCCTAGAGTTACATCAAACAGTCCATCTTTTATATCTCCTTCAAATCTCATCTGAACAAATTTGTAAAAGAATCAATAAGAGAAAAGATTACTATGTATTAGTCTTAATTTTTAAAAAATAAAATAAAATCTTAATTTATATTTAGAAATTAAAGTTTCAATTTAAAATTTAAAAATTCAATTAGTTTTCAAATCTAAATATCAATATTCAATAAGATGATTTTTTAAATTTTAAATTAAATTTTAATTAAATAAAACAAAATAATTTAAAGTTAAAAATCTATTTTTTTTAGAAGTCAAGATTAATATGTATTTTTTCCATAAAAAATCAAAAAAAATGTTTTTCATTTCATCCATGTGCCGTCTTAAAAATATTTCAACTTTATAATCAGTGAGTCCTTGTAGGGTTAATGACAAACTTCACTGTTCATGAGACTGAAATATTTGCAATCAGCATGGAACAGATTGTGCTCATAAGCACTGAATTTGAAAAAAATATGAAACAGTAAAAGAAGAATTTATCTAAGGGTTCTTTTAACCTATACATTAAAGGTATAGATTAAGAATACCTTTTCAATATTAATTATCATTAAAAAAAATAAAATTTAACATTTATTTAATCAATTTATCAATTAAAACCATACTTGTAACATTAATGATAAAAGTAATATTAGCTTTGTTACTTTTTATACTAATTAATATAAAAAAAGATTAGTGTTTATCCATTTTACCTCCAAAAAATTAAAAAGAAAAAAGACAAAAATTATTTTAATGTATACTTTAAAAATAGGGTAATTTAGTCTTTTTTTAATAAAAATTTATTAAAATGACGTAATTTTGGGATGATTTTTTTAAAATTTTTAAGAGATAAGACTGATAGGTACTATTTTTATGTAAAAAAA